ACGTATCAAATTTCATATTTATACAATTTGTATAAAAAAAACTAAAAATAAAGTACTTTGAAACGTTGAATCTAAAATCATATGATGAATGGCTTCTCTTGATCAAAATTGGACCGCCGGATGGTAGAGGGAAGATAAAACTTCTTAGCATAGGGGAAGCATAGAAACCTCTCCCTTAAAATTGTATGGTTGGAGTTGTGTCATCGACTAAGCCACAAAGTACAAAAGAAAATATGTCAAATTTTTGTAACACACTCAAATCTTGACATATAATGATCTAAAGCAATTATGACCTCCTTGTACTAAAAAAATAATATTGTAATATATAATTTCATAGACAATAGAGAGGAGAAAAATGACATATTTGTATCAATTAGTGTTTTAAAACCTAGGTCAGTGCGGTGGACCGTCCACACACATATTTGTATCAAATTGCTAAATCGTTAATTCAAATTGATCTAGATTGGTTTGAATCGGTGATCTAGAAAAAATAAAAAATAAAAAATAGAATATGTGTTTATGGGGGAGGAAATTAAGGGATCTAAGTAATATTAAATAAATTAAAAAAAAAAAAGAAAAAAAAAAAAGAAAAAAACTTCGTGAGAAAGCAGGCTTGATACCTTATAGAACCAGTTTAGTATTGCCCGATCTCCAATCCAGATTGGCAATTTCCGATTCAAATAGCCGTGACTTAAAACATTGATGCGATCAACATAAACATAATCTCTGCTGGAGGTATGGATGCCTTTTCACACCAATTGATCCATAAAAAGATTCACTATGAAAATGGATCAATTGATGAGAAAAAACTTCCGTACCACTTGATATTGGGGAGTTATTCATGTGAATTTTATTTCATGACAACATTTTCATACGAACCAAAATTACCTTTTTATTGGTCGTATACTTGCAAACCTTGGCTCCATTGCCTATTATAGACAAAAGAGAGACGAGCCAATTTTTAAGGATACTGTGCCTAAATCAAAAGGGTAGGGTTTGTATCAGGCTTAGGCTCTAAACAATCACATCAAAACACACTTTCAAATAATATACGAGAAAAATAGTTTTAATATTAAAAAGATCTGTGATAACTTTAAACTATATTTTCATCTTTAACTGTAAAATTTAAAGTTTCAAAAATAATGTAGATCAAATGGATCTATGAAAACTTGAAAATTAACGGTTAAAAGATGTATTATAAAATACACTATTTTCAAAACTTGAAATCCATTTTTTTTCTCATGTCTATGCATCTTCAGGTTGAGGTGATCAATTTGAAAATATTTAAGCATCAAGATAACCTCTTCTAGTGAAAGTTTTGAGGTGCACCTTGATTGTTTACACCGTCCCACTTATAAAAACCTTTTCTAAGTAAAAAAACATCCCTTTAATTTATTTTTTTCACTGAGGAGTACTACGCTAACAGAGCATGCTCCCGCGGGAGCATAGAATTTCTTGGCATCTTTGAGAAATGGTTAAAAGAGCGAGCCCTCTTTTGAGTTGAAGTAGCTCAGGGGTAAAATACAGGAAGGGCAGTAGGATGATAATCCGATAATGGCTATCCGTGCTGCAACAGTTGTGGCCGTGAATACTGCTACGGCTACACTCATAAGGCATTATCACCACCTACCACTGTCTTTCTCTCTTCTCTTCTTTCTCTCTTGTCTTCCCTTTAATTTACTCAATACCTTTTTCTTTTGTTCCAATTCAGCAGAAACTCCTCTGCACTTCGAGCTGCTTCATTAAGTTTTAAAGTTCCTCCTTTTCCTCAAGGACCCACCATTCGTATTACCAGGTAATCTCCTTTTCTTCAATGTGGAACACCTATTATGAGGAGAATACTTTCATGTCTTGGACTTTAAATGAAGATAAACAATTTTTCTATTTATTTTTCTAATCGAACTAGAAATATCTAAGTTTTGAGAGATTTTGCGTCTTGGGTATGTTTGATTCAGACCTTATTCGTGTCCAAGAGCAACAATGGATGAGGCATCTGCTGCTAAAGAAGCAGCAGCCTCTGCAAATTCTGCAGCTCCAACCATGTAAGGTTTTTTATTTAAACATGGTTCTATTTTTGCTTTTACGGGTGGCACGAGAAGCTTTATTTTTATTTTCTCCTTCGATCGAGGCTTTGCATGATAAGTTTTGCCTTCTTATTTGAATTTTATGCATCTATTTCATTGTCAAAGGATTTGTTTAATTGTTATTTTATGCTTTAAGATTTGATAAGATCATTGCAAAGGAAATCCCTTCTACTATCGTATACGAGGATGAGAAGGTGTTGGCTTTTCGAGATGTAAATCCACAAGCACCTGTTCATATTCTACTGATACCAAAGGCCAGAGATGGTTTGACACAACTCTCAAAGGTAATGCATCGCTTCGCTACCCATATCTCCATCTTATACTTCTTCATTATTGATACATAGGGCCTCTGAATTTTCAATGAGGGGTAAACCTCCTGTTGAAGAACCAATGCTTCCGTCCCTAATTATGATATATCATGCACTATGTTTCCTGGTCATTTGACTCCATTGGTGCCAATGCTTGAGGAATGACTACGCGGCATTGTTTTTGTCCTTCAATTGTGCCATCATTGTCTGCTATTATTTTTCTTGTTGAACATTATTATGTTGTTCATTTCCCTGCACAAGTTGTGCCCAGGGTTTTAATTAACATCTCATGGGGATCACTATTTATAATTTTGATTTGGACTCAAATTGGTGGGTTTGTGTTATACAATCATAATATCAGACTTGTTTCTGCTTATACTTAAGTTTTAATTTTTACTCAAAATTGTTCTAATCATTATTCATCAAACAATTATATAGGTAACTACATGGAAAAAGAGGTAAACTGCGTCGTCTTAGTGTAGCCTCTGATAATCTCATGGCTCTAGTGAATAGTGGACCACTTTATTTCCATCTAGATCGCGTTTCTTCAAGTATTGGGATTGTCAGCCCACCCATCAAGATTGGCATTGTTAGATTTCTGCTCACCTCTTTTATATCCAAGCCTAACTTAGGGATTTTTGCCATGTTCTTGTCTTTGGATAGTTTGAAGTTTTATACAATATTGAGCAGCCCTGCATTTTGCAGAAGGAGAAACCGTTATCAGGCTGGTTATATGGAAATTGGAACCATGTTGCCATTTTCGTAGATCATTAATTTGTTGAGGGAAAAACTACTTATGGATGGCCCTTGCATATCTATAGCACTGATCGAAGGCCCAAAAAAAAAGTAATGTTGAGCTGCTAAAATTGTAGTTCTCATTGTCCCAGCTATCGACAGTCCAGCATTGTAGCTATATAAAAAGCTTCGTCCAACAAAATTGATTGTTATATGGGGCTTCCATCAATACTGTAGAAAATGATGGCTCTGTCCATTTAAAGTTTCCTCTTGTATATTTAGAGGATGTCAAGTCCGCTTGTCACCTTTATGAGGACAAGGACACTGACATCTAAATGGACTCTAATATTGCACACTACTTCTCGAAAATTAGGTGTTTAGGATAATCACATCTTAAAAGATTCCATGATTAAGATGTACAAAGTAACTGAGATTAGGCTTGGTTTTTTACACAGTAGGCTGTATTCATTGATATTCCAATCTTCAAATTTGAAAAAGACAAATTTTTAAGTAACATACAAATACTTGTGTCTTAAAAGGATACTCGTGGTACTACATAAGGAAATGTTTGCTTCCCCTAACCAAGATGACCAAATTTTTGATACTCGTTAATAATGTTACATTTTGAAGTGGTCAGTCTTTCTGATGGATGTGAAAAATGTGCGATCTGTTTGAGAAAATTATGTCATTTTAACTGTGCCACACATTCTGTCTAATCTGAGTCTCCTGGTAGGCTTGATAAGTTGTCCCTTGGCCTGTACTGGGCCCCATCTTTATGTCCCTTGAAGCAATCAATGTGCCTTGGCCTTGAAATCCTCTGAAGCCCTTTAATCTTTAAATTTGTTAGAAGTTTTGTTTTATTGGTGACTATGTGTTCATGTTTTAAATGTTTTTTGAGTAGCAAAATTCAGGGAAAAATATATGCTCCACAAGCTCTTGTTGCTACCATCAGTGGCCATGGTTGGTATATGAATGGCCATGGTTAGGTGTTTGGTAAATACATGTTGGGATTTGTTTTGTTGAGGCTGTAGAAATATATGACGAGCTTGGTTTCAGACTTGATTAATTATAATGTACTGACAAGGCTTAAACTTCATGAATTCTAGTGATTCTGCATAAGCCAACCAAATCCCACCCTTAACCTAGGTCATCAATGCTGCTATACAGTTATACTGTTAATCTTTATGGTTTTTAACATACACCCCTTGTTTGGCTTGGAAAATTTCATGTGAACTGTAGTTAACTGCCCAGTTTGCTCAATCCAGGGGATGTGGAGTAGTTTCTTTACCCACTTCATACCTTGGCTTACCTGTTTGTCTGGGGAAACCTAAAAAGAATCTCTGTGGTCACACCATAGACAAGTTTGACCATAAATTTGCAGGTTGGAAGGGCCGCTATCTATCCTCTGCTGGGAGAGTCACTCTCATTAAGGCTACTTTCTCCAATGTTCCAATTTACCAAATGTCCTTGTTCCACATCCCCGCCTTGATTGCAGCTCGCCTTGAATAGCTTATGAGGAATTTCTTGTGGTCCAGAGATTGTACAACCAATGATTTTCACCTAGTCGCTTGGGACAAGGTGGGTAGCGAAAGCTTCAGGTGGTTATGGCATCCGAAACCTGAGAGACACAAATTCTGCCCATCTATCCAAATGGTGGTGGAGACTTTTCACCCAAGAGGGACAACTATGGCAGGAGGTTCTCCACACTAAATATCAAATCCACCCTACCAGATGGATGCCCCCATTCCAGGCCAATAGCCTCTCCTCAGGCTTCTAGTGTTCACATATGTGCTGCTACGACCTTTTTAAATCTCATTCTCGCATGCTCCCAAGAAGAGGCAGCCACACACTCTTTTGGAACGACATCTGGGTCGGTCACACTCCTTTGAGGGAATCCTTTCCCAACCTTTGGGGGAATCCTTTCCTGACCTATTTCTGCTAGCTGTAGACAGAGATGCTTCCAACCTTGACCAATTCCCACTAACCATTTCCCCTCTCTTCTGGTCTCCCACTTTTAGACAGGCCCTTCGAGACCATGAAGTGGGGTCTTTCCTGCAGCTCCAAGCCAACCTATTTATCTTCCTCCCTCGGACACAGATAGACATATTTGGTCCACAACTCTCATGGTTCTTTCACAGTTTCTTCATGTTATTTGAGTGCAGCATCCTCTCTCAACCCTCCTCAGGCATTCCCCTCCTCGGCCAAAGCGTGGCTACCCTTATTCCTCCTAAGCTTCAAATGTTCAATTGTGTCTCTATCTACCAAAGGGTGCTCACTGTGGATCAAATTCAGAAGCAAGGCATCCCACTTCCCAACCGATGCCCCATGTGCCAAAATGCCGAAGAAACCAATGCCCACTTGTTCCTCCAATGCCCGGTAGCTGCTTTGGGGGCAATTTCTTCCACTCTTTGGTTGGGTTTTGGTCACTGCTCAGTCAATCCATGGCCTTTTCAACCTTTCACTATACCTCCCATGGCCCAATGAAGGACCCATAGTATGGAAGGCAACAGTCTGTGCCATCTTGTGGTCCATTTGGATTGAAAGAAACCACAGAATTTTCAGAGGTCAAAGTAATTCAGCAGTGAGATTGGTCATTTTCTGGACCTAGAACCTTAAGAGATTTAGAGCTTTCTCCTCCTCAAATTTCTGCCTCAATTGGATCTAGTTGTGTCCCACCACTCCCCCCCCATTCCTCCAACTGGGATGGATCAAAATGAACTTCGATGGATGTTCCCTAGGAAATCTAGGACCTGCCAGGGTCGGAGGCCTGTTCATTCAGAGACCATTCCGGTCATATTATTTGCTCCCTTTCCAAACACATTGGTACCAACAATAGCACATCAGCGGAGGCTATTGAATTACTTGAATGTATGAGGGAGTATAGACCAGAGAGGGGCAATCAGATTGCAATAGAAGGAGACTCCAAGTCAATCATCGCTTGGGCCTCTGTTTCTATCGATCCTCCATGGAGACTAGCCCATAACTTCGATGAAATCTTCGACATTAGCAGCACAATTGAAGTTTCCTGGACTCATATCTGGTGAGAAGCAAACTCACTGGCTGATACCCTCTCAAAAGAAGTTGCAGCAGCTTCGCCAGAGATTGGCACATAAAACATCTCTTGTACACAGTTACAATCTCGAATTTTCAGATTGGGAATGCACAGAATGTTGCACAGAATTTTGTATCTTATTTCTTTCTTGTAGTCCCTTAACCCTGTAACGAGGGTCCACCTTTATGTATACTTACTCCTTACTCTTAATACAAGCTATCTTCTCTCAAAAGAAAATCTGTAGTTAAACCTAATCTTCTTACGGTGTTTGATTTGAACCTTGTTGGGCAGTGCCTATACTATTAAATGAGGACCTAAATAGCCATCAAAAACTTATTTCAATAAGGCTGATGCTTCTGCAGGTACTCAGGGATTCTAGGGTGATTTTGTTCGATGGTTAGATGTCTTTGCCTATGTCAATATTCTTTCTTATTGTTTCTTTGGGAAATATTCTTTCTTATTATTTATTTGGATGAGTATTCGACCTTAGACCACTTTGATCTTAAGACTTTGTGATGTACGAGAGTGAGATTTTATCAAAGGCACTTCTATGTGGATGCCATAAGGGGGGTTTGTATGAGAGTTGGAACAAACGCAAGTGAGGGTTGATCAACCTTGTGAATGAAGATATTAAGCTCTCAGAAGTTGAGGCCTTCATTCTTGCGTCTGCAAGATTTCTTGGTTTTAGCAATGTATGTCCTTCCCAATGATCCTCATGAGAGCATTTTAGATGGAAGTAAAATGATACAAGAAGCATCCCACAATTTTCTAGGTGCTTTTCATATGTTTTCAAGAGTTTCTGAAAGCATACCATTTGTCTCTGCCATCATTTTTGGTCTAGTGAGGACATCATCAAATCGAAAGAAAAGAAAGGGAGGAGATCTTAAATTTTCCAACACTTATCTCAAGCAGCTATTTATGACATGGAAACCAAGCTTCACCATCTTTAGATGAAAAGAGTAGATCCTTTCTTGGCTGGGTACCTAGCAGCCTCATCTTATCTTGAGTATGCCCCAATCCTACGTTTGTTATTCTTATCTCCCCAACAATGAAGTACAAAACTGTGAGAGCTGAACTTTATCAAAGGATTTCATTGCTATCCTTCTTGCTAGTAGCAGCTGGTGATGAGCCTAAGTTGACATCACTTGTCCAGCATTACTTTTTCAGTTGGTGTTGTTGGGTAATGTACTAATGTCATAAAACTGCATTTATGATTCTTTAATATGGGGTATGTTGTTACCATCCTCTTTTTCAATTGCGCCTGAATCTACTCAAGACTCTATCTGTACCAGGTCTTTGCTCTTTCTGTTAACTTTTATTATTTTCATATATAGATATTTGAGTGGCATGCGCCACCCTTTTCTGTGTTTTATGATCTAATGAACTTGTGACTTGGAACTAAGTTTGGACAGATTTTGGTCTTAAACGCAGTAATTATTATAGCTGAAATACAGAATGTTGCATGAACATGGTTAAAGCTTCCCAAATAAATGCTTTGTATTCAAAGAAAGCAGATACTCAGTTTGGATGATATTTTCTGCTGTTCAACTAGATATTTCTTCATATTCGATGCATCTGTTATATTTGTTTTAACATTTGAACAAATCCGCCTGTATTTTAAGACTGTGATCACCTCTTCCCAATCTTGGGCAATTGAAGACTCATTCCCTTTATAAACCTGTCAAATTTGTCACGATGCCAGAAATGTCTTCAAGAGGCTCCATTTTGTTAATCTATTTTAGGTTGGTCAAAACCATTAGGCCAGGGTTGAGTTCAATGGAAATGAAGAACTTGCCATGCCAACTCATTTGAATAAAACATAGTTTCAATTGTGGATTTTTTTCTTTGGGCTTTAATTGGTATTTTGTGATATTGGAACTGAACTGTTGTTTTTCTTTTTCAAAAACCCGTATGTTACTCATTTCTTGTGTCCTAAATCATACTTCTCTAGGCTGAATTTAGACACAGTGAAATCTTGGGTGATCTTCTTTACACTGCAAAGCTGGTTGCTGAGAAGGAAGGTCTCAAGGATGGGTTTCGTGTAGTTATCAATGATGGACTCGATGGATGTAAGTATTCCTGATTTGTAAAGGACGTTTCTAGTCCAATTTCTTGCTGGTTTGATCTTTTGTCTTATCTAAGTTTGATCTCTTCTATGAATCTTATTGATTCTATTATTCCAGGCCAATCGGTTTACCATCTTCACTTGCATTTGCTTGGTGGAAGACAATTGAAGTGGCCACCTGGTTGAATCCTTAATGAGCATTGTCCTTTTTTTTTAATTTGTTTTCAGTATTTAGTTTCATTATACCTTTTTTCGCAGGTTGAATTGAAACCATGAACCTTTGATGTTCATGGTTTTTCGCATTTCAAACATGCTTACAACGGTAGAGCTGATTTCTTTCAATCTATCTGCATTAATAAAATTTTTTACAGAATGATATGGGAGTTTTGCTTTTCAACTCCAAAAGAATGGCATTACAGTCAACAAAAATAATAGACAATAATAAAAAAGGGGAAAAAAGAAAAAGGAGGAGGAGAAGACATATAGTTTCTTCACAAACTCATTTACCTTCTCTGAAATGGCTGGATTATTTTTAGTATTACCTGTAATGAAGTAACGATTGTTTTTGATATTACCTGATGAAGCAAATAGTCTCTTGAACCATGTTTATGAATGGAAGGACATTGAGGTACTAAGCTACATTTTGATGGTTATAGCTGGTTTTGCACTCCTGGTCTAGGCCTTATTGAGATTTTCTGTGTCTGATCATATAAAAGATGGACGAGTGCCATTCCAATCTGCCACTAATGTCCACATATCTTTTGAAAGTTCCATATTGCTTGTGATGAACTTTGCTATTCGTGATTTGTGAAAACTCTCTATTTCTGATTTGTGAAAACTCTCTCTCTCTCTCTCTCTCTCTCTCTCTCTCTCTCTATATGCTAGTGCTGTCTCTTGAGTATGAAATATTTTGTTGTTTAAAAGTAAAGATCGTCCATAAAAGGCATTGCAAGGGCTGACCCATTATTATAGTAGCCATTATCATGGTACCGGTGGTTTGGTGGATGCAAGCAACAATGCAGTTTTTGGTGGATGCAAGCAACAATCTGACTACAGTTTTTGGAGAGCCTCATGGCCATCCAGCCTACATTGCCTGGCAAAAACTAGTCATTCAGCTCTTGTTTCAAGGTCTCTCAAATGCTTACCCCAGCTTTGAGGTGTCCTCAACTAGCATCGTTCTCAAGAGCTTGGCATCTCCAAAAAAGTAAATAATACAAATGCCTATGCGATCTTCTTCTTGGGCATGAGCATCCTGAAAATATTGTTCAATGTCGTATTGGAAGTTCTCTAATAGTATGGAGTCCCCCATGCCCTCAAATGCCTTGGGCTCTAGCACATTCTCATATTTTTAGAAGGTCCATCCCATATATGGTATTGCAGAATTCTTGATATGAGCCATGTGTGCCTGGGTCACGAGACTTGCCTTGAAGGAGTATGTGTAGGCTTTGAAGTTGTCCATTTGCTCTGTCATATGAGCATCATGTGTGTCACCTCTCTCTTTAATGTCAGCCTCCAAGCAATTGATTCAAGCTTCCAAGGAGGTGAAACTCCGCCCCAACCCACTGTCTTAGCTCTGTAGGTTCGTGGAGTGCTATAGCTGCTCCTTGAGGTGGTTAACATTCTCCTGAATTTTTGTTGAGACAGCACTAACCATGGTCAAGAAACCTAGGTCTGATACTAATCACCATGGGGACTAATTTTTCCACTTAGGAAACCCATGTGGAACCAAGCATAATTCGAACTTGGCCCATCACAAGACCAGTCTTCTGTAAGCATACCCAATAGGAATGGGGCAAAGAATCATTCAAGGTAGCATAGAAGATATAGGCAAGGACTGTAGTCTGCTTTTATTGCTCTATCCCTTGATTATGTATAGCAATGAATGCCCTCAAGGGTTTAGGCAAGGGGTATATATGGCACCAAGTATGCATCTATAGACCCTCATTTACATGGAACCGCCACCATTACTCACCACCTAGTATGTCTCTACCATCAATGACCGCCAACATATTCCATCAAGGGGGAGGGGGGGGGGGTTCATGTCAACCCACTCCACTAGTCATTATTGCCCATGCATGGTCATTACACAATCATTACTATCAACACTACTCAATACATGAACATTTACCCTATCTCACATGACCTATAGTTGTTATATAAGATCATGTCTAAGGCAGCTACATATTTCAAACTCAAGTTCTGACACCTTATGCTTAGCAAGGTGTATGGTCAACTGCCCATTGCACATAGTCTATTCATGTGTCTTGTGGGGTCAAGCCACCAAGGGTCATATCAATCAAACCTGAACACGTTGGTCTTAGTGATCCACCAAGTCCGACTGACTTAGTCATTTGTATTCACTATCTTGCCCACGGCCTCGCACCAAGAGTCTCTGCTACTTGCCCACAATGTGCATGCATCCATCCATCATGCCACATAAGCCTTACATATACTCCTTTTTAGCGTCTCTTCAATCTGTTTTATCACGATGGAATTGTACGCAAAGCAATTAACTCCATTATTTCTCTCATCCCTAAAAAAGGCGTTGTTGCTTCTCTTCAGGATGTGCGACCCATTTACTTACTTTCTACATGCTACAAGATGCTAGCTAACAGGCTACGTTTGGTTATCAATGACGTGGTTGAAGGACCACAAACTACCTTTATCAAGGATAAACTCATTATGGATGGTATTTTGCTGGCACAAGAGACAATTCATACCACTTCTTATTCTGGAACTAAAGGTCTCCTTTTTGAAATTAGACTTTGAAAAAGCTTACGACGAAGTAGTATGTGATTTTTTGGACAAGATCTTGGAACTCATGGGATTTGGTAATCATTGGAGAAAATGGATTAAGAGTTGTTTATCATCGGCTCATTTCTCGATCTTGGTCAGGAATAAGGCCACTGGTTATTCAAAGCTTCATGGGGATTGCGTCAAGGTGATGCTCTATCCCCTTTCCTCTTTACCTTAGTAGCAAAGGCTTTCAGCAAAATGCTTCAAGGGGTGGTAGACACAAGCCTTATACATGGTCTACGGCCTTGGCCCAATGGCTTGGTCTTAAGCCATTTACGGTATGCAAATGACACTCTGATGTTGTTAGACTGTTCTTCGGAGAATGTGCAGAACACTTGGTTGTTTCTTAAGCTCTATGAACTTGTTTCCTGTGCTCGTATTAATATGGCCAAATCTCGGATCATTGGGATTAACTATGAAGCTTCACAAATCCAAGATTGGGCACTCTGGTTGAATTGTGAAATTGATCACTTACCAACTAAATACTTGGGTCTGCCACTCATTGATGACAACACTCCTCGGTCCCTTTGGGATCCACTCATTCAGAGGGCTCATCACAAACTCGACGGCTGGAAATCCAGGTTCTTGTCCTTCGCTGGCCAGACAACTCTTGTTAAAGCTACTTTCTCTAACATTCCAATCTATTATTTTTCAGGCACCCGGAGTTATCATCAAGAAGTTAGAGCAATTAAGGCGCAATTTCATGTAGAGCGGTTCCCAACAAAAAAGCAAGTTTCAACTAGTTAATTGGGCCTTGGTCTGCCTTCCTCTCAAAGAAGGGGGACTGGGAATCCACAAGTTGAGGGTAGTTAATGAAGCTTTACTGACTAAATGGTGGTGGAAGCTTTCTACTGACCACAATCAGTGGGTCAAGTTATTTTGGGCAATTATGGCGGAGACCTTCATTACTAAAAAATGCTCTAGATTGGCCACCCTCTTGACAGTGTGGCGAGGTATTGACATGGTTCGGTCGCTTTTTTGGCTTACACTAGGATGCTACTTGGTGATGGAAGACTGACTAGGTTCTGGCATGTTAAATGGCTTGGGGACTACCCACTAAAGCTGGTGTACCCTGATGTTTACTGAAGGTCTATTCACAAATCGGAGGTTGTCTCAAATCTCATTTCTATGGAAGGTGGCCTGCCCTGCTGGAATCTATTGCTAAAGCATAAGGAGGTTGGATGAACGGGTGGCGGATCGATATGCTAATTTGTTGTCATGCCTCTACAACTTCTGCTTCCATCCTAGAAAGCCAGATAAACTAGTTTAGACATTGGAGCCTGATGGTTGTTTGTCAGCCCCGTTCTCTATATGAGGTTCTCTATATGGATCGCTATATTGAGGATCGACCCTATCTTGCTATACTTTGGAGATGTAAAGCACTCAGTAGGGTTAAATCCTTTATGTGGTTGCTTGGTTTTGAATGCCTCCTCATTGTCGACTGACTACGCAATATGGGGTTGATCTTGCCCAACGTGTGTCTAATGTGCAAGGTTGCTGAGGAAACCATAGATCACATGTTTATTCATTGCCCCTTTGTGGCCACTCTGTGGGATTGGCTGAGCTTGCTCTCAAATTGGATTACTCCGCTCCCGGAGGGGACTTGTAACCTGTTGCAACAGTTCTGATCGCCACCCTTTTTGTCTTTGGGCATTAGCTTGTGGAGGATTGTTGTAGGTGCATCTCTTTGGAACCTTTGTAAAGAGAGGAACTTAAGAACTTTTGAAGGCCGAGTTCGTGATTACCCACCTTTTCTATCGCTATCAAGAAAACCATCATCATGTGGTCTTTTGCTTCTCGGCCTATCATTTCTTTCCCCAAAGAGCTCTTCTTCTCTCATCTCCCAGAGCTTTTGTTTTTTAAAAAGAGGCTTAGGCGCCTAAAATGCTCTTGGGCCACGCCTCTTGAAGGTTGGCTGAAACTCAACTTTGATGGGAGTGTTCGGCACAATATGAGCGGTTATAGGGGTCTTTTTCGAGATCACACTGGTACCACATTGTGGTCTTATCACGGGAGGATGCATTTATGTGAAGTTTATGAGGTAGAACTCTAGGCACTCAAGATGGGAGTGACACAACTAGCCCCGACACATCTCAAAGTTATTATTGAAGGTGACTTAGTGAATTTCATCAAATGGTGCTTAAGGTCGGATTTTATGCCTTGGAACCTGAGTGTTATTATGTATAAAATCATTTTAGGTCTGGTGTCCCGCGAGGTCATTTTTGCTCATGTTAGACATGGATTCAATTCAGATGCTGATGGACTAGCCTCTCTTGCGACCTCCCATGCTCAACTACATTCTATGCTGGTGAAGGAGCTAGTCTAGACCAACTTGAAGGACTCATGCCTCTCAAAAGTGTGGGTTTTTAAGAACGGACTGAGCTTGTCTAGACTAGTGAGGGTTAGGCTTGTGATTCTAGCATTTCCCTTGTGAGAAATCTCTGTTTTTATGTATTCAATGTGCGGGAGAAAGCTCCATGTAAATATACAAAGGTGGTTACCAAATATATATATATATAAAAAGGTAACACACAAATAAGGCAAAAAAATATCTTTATACAACCTACATGATCAAGGAAAGATCATCCCATCTAGTAAAAAGAAAAGAAATATACAAAACATAACACAATTTCACACTCCCCCGCAAACTAGTGATGGTTGGAAACGAACCCTTGAGAGTTTGCAAACAAAGCTTGAGAAACGAGGAGCATTATGAGAATTTGTAAACAAGCCAGCAAGTTATGTAGAAGATGAGATGTGCAGAAGATGAGATGTGTAAAAGAGAGATTGTTCCAGCTAGATATTCCTGTCAAACAAAATGACAATCTATTTCAATATGCTTGGTGCGCTCATGGAACTCGGCATTCTTAGCAATATAAATTGTACTTTTGTTATTATAATACAAGGGAGTGGAAGCAGAAAGCTCCATACCCAAGTCTGCTAATAACTAGGGAAGCCATACAATCTTAACTGTTGTTTGGGCTATGGATCTGTACTCAGCTTCAACAATTGATTAATCAATACATTTTTGCTTCTTACTCTTCCAAGAAATAAGAAAGTCACCGAGAAGAATACCAAAACCTATAGTAGACTTCCAATAAGAAGTAAATAGTATGTACAAAGTCCGCTCATAACTAATATTAACATGAAGGTCTAGATATGCATCTGTTAATAGGACAAAATTTACAATGGTGAATTTGAACAATAGTTACAAAGGGAAATTTAATCATGACTACAATTTCTCCCAAAGCTGGTTGTGCGCACTCGAACTATGAGATTGTAATTACCTTAAAAAAATATTTACCATGGTTTGATGAGTTTGGCTGCTCAGTAAGTGATCATCATGGTCCTAAAAAATAATCATAGTGGGAAGATATAAACAATGTCAAAAAGGAAGTCTATTAAAAAACAACAATGCGAACAAAAGCATTTATGGATAACAATTTCTCTTTCAGAAATAAATAGTTAAACATAATCTAAATGATTGAAATGCATATAAACATTTTAACAGCAATGCATAATTCAAAAGATTTCACAAAATACCCTACTTGCGTCCTAAGTAGGCCACCTATATACCCTATCACCATTCTGGATGGGTCCAAACAATCCCTGCAAGTCCAAACATACCTCGCCGACGTACTGGATGAGTCCAAATAGTCCCTATTGGTATAATCAGATATATCCACACAATCCCTGCAGGTCCGATCATACCTCACTGATGTTCAAGATGAGTCAAAATAGTCCCTACTAGCATAACCGGATAGGTCATAACAATCCCTACAGGTCCAATCATACCTCATAGGTATCCCTGATGAGTCCAAATAATCCGTACTAGCATAACCAGACAGGTCCTAACAATCCCTGCATATCCGATCATCCCTCATCGGCATATCGAATAAGTCCAAACAATCCGTACCAGTATAACTGGATAGGTCCACATATACTCAAATTATTTCTGAAAGTCTTTTAACATCAGAAAGCAGCAACATCATATATGTAAAGTATCATTGAAATCATTAACAGGAATTCACTTGAAGCAATTTAAACAATCACTTTCATTGAAATATCTGTAAGTAACAAGTCAAACATTTTGGCAATAATTTCTGAAAGGTAGCAGTTCTGTAGGACATTTCTGAAATATAACATGATATCACAATTTTATGAAAATGTAATTTGGCAATTAACCATTTTACAAGAATAGGTACAACTTATAGCGTTTAAAATTCACAGATAGATAAAATACAATTAAATGCAGAAATACGTACATCTTACAGTATTTGGCAATATTACCATTAAATGCAGAAATATCGGTTTCTCACATATTGATTTTGCCAGAAATAATGTCACTTACACATAAACTTTACAATGTTTAAAAGTCATAAAAAATAGACAAAAATAATCAATATTATTAAAAGGATTATTTTTCGGGACGAGGAGATCACTTACGTATAAAACTTATAAAATAAAGATGTTGGACTGAAATATCACTATTTTATTAAAAACATACTATTTTTCATGAGGATGAGGTCACTTACTCACAAAAGGTTGAGTGTTTAATTCACTCGCAAACTTCACCAATAAACTAACAAGTGAACGATACCCATCCCTAAAAATGGTCTGAAGATGGGTTATATGGACTTCCAAGATCTGGGGTTCAATCAAAATTGTGTAGGCTAGGGCTTGATTGGGCTGAATATACTCAGAAGGAGAAGGGATTTTCAGATAAAATGGGGGCCTCAGTTGAGGATGAATTTCCGAGAATGCCTGCCTTATAGATAACTCTACTGGATTATCGGCATCATATGGGCCAAGGTGAAGTAGTTTAGAATTCATGGTTTGTTTTATCAAGAAAAAGAAGGCTACACGAGAAACTGGCGAGAGAGAGAGAGAGAGAGAGAGAAAGAACTTACTGCGGGGAGAGAACTCACTGATGCTTATTATCAAGAAGTGAGAAGAGAGTATGGTACTTCATACAAAATATGAGAGAGATTTTTTTTTGTTTTTAAGAAGGTACGATAGAAGAGGTATTGTAATACCTCAATTATGAGATGTCAAAATGCAAAAGGTTAAAATGCCCTAAGAGATAAAACTACCGTAAAAAGTTAAAAGAAAAAGATGATTGACTTAAGGTCTACTCAAATAAAGTTGGACCGTCTAAATATTTAATAATATTATAATTTTTAAAATATTTTTAAAAAAGTTAAAAGAGTGGTCCCTATGGCGAATTATTGTCACAATAGACTATCATAAGTATTTTTGATGTTATTTATTTATTTATTTTATTAAAATTATTATTTTATTAATTCTAAAAATTTAGGGCTGTTACATATATGAAGCATAATTTACTTTCCCATAAGACTGAACAAAAGGAATTGTAAAGAAAAATAAATCATCATCAAAGCCTTTTCTCAATTATTTAGGGTCGGCTATTTCTGGAAAAATTTGGCAAAGTTTTATGATGACTGCTTATCTAACACAACCCACCTCCTCTACCCGAGCTTGAGCGAGGTTAAGAGAATATTTAAAGTCCTTACCCTTCTTAAACTATAAAAGGAAAGTGAATTAATGAATTAATAGCTCGTGTATCATGACTGCTAAGTTTGTGCACATATACATGTATTTTAATGTGTTTTTCACTATATAACACAAATATATGTTTCTGTTCATATTAAAATGTCAACATTTGGGAAATTGCAGCACTAGGAGCCTTGAACATCATTTGGATGAGGCAGGTGTGCAGGATGTGA